CCCCAAAACCCCAAAACCCCAAAACCCCTGTGTTGTAAATACATAGATTAGAAGAAGTACATTTTATTAAACCTAATTTATCATATATCATCGCCTAAAAGATCAAGCACCTCCTTCATGAAGTCGTCTTTATTGGGATCTTCTTTGTATTTAACAGCCATTTCTAGAGCTTCCTTGAAGATAACAACGACATTTGTGCCGTCAGCAGCACTGACGAAGTTGAAGGGAACGCCTAAGTCCTCCACAAACTTGTATTTTCTCTAAGTAGCTCTCTCATCAATGTCTATTTTATTGGCAATCACAATGCAAGGAATTTGAGGACATTGTTGTCTCATTTCCTTGTACCATCCTTTAAGATTCTGGTAGGTCACCTTGCGACTAGCGTCAAAAACAAGAATTGCAGCATGTGCTCCAAAGTAGTAACTAGGATGAAGCTCATTAAATGATTCTTATCCTGCTGTGTCCCAGATATCTATGATAAGATATATTAGACCAAAGTTAAAAAATAGAAATAGTAAGTCATACCAACTTTATATTCTTGTCCATTGACTGTGGTGTTATGTCTGTACATAGTCAGAGCATGAGTTGAGGATGTTCTCTCTTCACTATTCACAAGCAATAATAATTAAATACAATTTCTTATCCTAAGAATATTCTAATACTTACTAATCATTCAGTAGGAATCTTTCTACGAGTCTAAATAGAGCTAAGTTAAGATGAGATAAAAGCTTACTTTGACTTGCCAACAGCAGAATCTCCAAGCAGAATGAGCTTAATATCAGCTGGGGGAATCTCCTTGGCTTACTTAACCTTTTTTTCAAGCTTTTCGTCGATTTTAGTATTCTTATCCATTTTAGATTAATTTGAATTTATAATTTAATCACTCTAATAATATAATCGATAAATTTAAGATAATAAATCAGAGTACATATGTTTCCTCCTAATATGGCAAATATGGATCCAAACCTGATCCGTCAGCAGTCTCAAATGCTTAATGGAATGTCAGACGAGCAAATCAAATAGTAAATGGCTTATGCGAAACAAATGATGGGCATGAATAATATGCCTGATATATCTCCCGAAATGCTAAAACAGATGTCAAAATAAATGGGAAGCATGAAAGACGAGGATATAGAGAGAATGAAAAATATGTCTTAGCAGCAGTTCGGATAGAACAGAGGTGGAGCTGCTCCTTAACAATAACCAAATCCTGGATTCGGATCAGAGTCCTCTTAATGGGTGCCAAATAGTAATTCTTAGCAGCAGAAACCAGCAAGTACTATCAAGAATAAAGATATTGAAGAGGCTAATAGACTAAAGGAGAGAGCAAATAACCTCTTTAAGGAATAGCAATTTGAGAAAGCATGTGAGAAGTACTATGAGTCCATAAACTCAATAAGGTTCAATGAAACCATCAAGAACAATCCCGAGGCAAGATAAATTGAAATAGCTTGTAGATTAAATGTAGCATTGTGCAAAGATAAGTTAGGAGAGCATAACGTTGTGATTGATTAGTGTTAGTAAGTTCTCGAATATGAGCCTAAAAATTGGAAGGCGTGTTTCAGATTGAGTAATGCTATGTATTTGCAGAATAAAGGAAAGTAAAATATAAAGGCTATTCATGACTATGCAAAGATAGCTCTTGATGGCAATCCTAGTGATTAGAAGATTAAAGACTTTTATACTTAGGTAAAGTCAAGGTATTAAGAATATTAAGATTCTCTAAAGGAGGATGAGGAAAAAAAGAGATTCGAAGAATTACAACAAAAAAAGTAATAAGAAGAATAGTAAGAAAATTAAAATAAATAGCAATCTAAATAAGAAAGAGTAGTTGAAGAGGAAAAAGTTTTAACTCCTAATTAAAATCAATAATAGCAATAAAAATTTGTAGCTCCAAACCCTCTTCAAAATTTGCCTGAGGAAGAAAAAGAGAGAATATTGAAGCAAGGTACAGAGTAACTTAAGAATATGGATGATAGTTAACTTAATACAATGGTGAATATGATGAAAAATAATAAGGATTATGTTAAGCAAATGTACAAGGCTCAAGGGATGGATTTGAGTGATGCCTAGATCGAATAAATGAGCTCTATGATGAACCCTGAGATGATTAAAATGGCAAGAGATATGATGTCTTCAAATCCAGATCTCATTAATCAAATGAAAAGCATGCAAGGAAATAGATAGCAACCTCCACCAATGAATAACTAAGCATCCTAATAGATTGAAACCAATTAAAACAAAAAATAACCTTAAAATAGCGAAGAGCCCATTATTGAAGAGGAAGTGAAGAGCCAGCCTGCTTAATAGCAATAACCATAATTCAATCCGTTTGAGATGATGAATCAGATGAATTAGCCAGGAGGAAATAATGGTATGATGGATATGATGAGTAATATGATGAACAACCCGATGGTATAGTAAATGATGCAGAATCCAGACATGATGCGCTAAGCTTAATAAATGATGTCAGGAGGAAATATGGATCCCTCTAAGATGCAAGACATGATGCAAAATCCATCAATGAAGAATCTAATGAGCAATCCTGACATGATAAGCAATGCCCTCAACATGATGAAAGATCCTAGAAACAAGGGAATGCTTGATATGATGAAGCAGCAAAATCCTAACCTTAATGTTGACATGATGATGAAAGCTATAGATGTGCTTGCTAAAGTAGCTTCTACATATAAAAGGGTAAAGAGTGCTTGGGCTAATATATATGTAAGATTGACTGTATTTGCACTGTTAGTAGCAATCATCGCCTATTTTTGGGGATGAATAAATATAAATTAGTTATGAAATTAATTTTATTAACATATCAATCAATTATATTGACTTTAATAATCATTGATATTTGTTATGTATTGAATGTATTTTTATCATGCTCTACTCCAAAGAGCTAGAAAATCCCTCCGCAGAATCATGGACATTCGCTACTGGGTTAAAATTAACTACGTTAATTGAGTCCTGATTATCCTAGGTAATCTAAACATTATCTTGTCTGATACTTCTATTTGGGTAGAGATTCATTATAAATTGAGAACTGTCATAATAGTTTTGCTCATAATCTGATATACCAGTAGCCTGTTTTCTAGTTTTAGTTTTTTATTTCAAGATCAATGTCCTCTCATCTCTTGGCTATTCGATTACTAAAGTTTTCAAGTTTTTCTTTCTCTTATACAACATATACTGAGGACTAACTATATTTTTAGGATTTATTTAATGAATTCTCTGACTATAATCCATTGATTTTTCCCTCTTTTTATTCAAAATGTTTGCCTTGATTTCCGATATTTTAGCAATTTACCATTTTTACTCTTACTACTGCTAATCTGGGAACATCTCAAAATCTTTTACTTTGAACCTTATTTAGTCATGATCCTTTAAAAAACTTTGATTATCATGGGATAGTTTAACATCTGGACTTTCGTTGCTGATTCTATCTGAAAACATATATTTAAAAGCACTATTTTCAATCATAATCTAATCTAAATCCTCTCTATCATTATCATTCTAAATTTCTTCTTTTATATACTACTTTTTGTCGCTTATAGTTTTTTAGGCAGGGTCAGATTTTCTAGGCTTCTTCTAATCATGTTTTTTGTAAAGTACTTTTGTTGGATGCTTCTTTTCTTTGGACAAGGATGTTAGAAAATGAGACTTTTCTGTGAGATGAGTCATTTACGGCCAAGGATTTATTGCTGACTTACTAAGAGTATCAGAATCAGATCCCATACATATTAGTTATTTGTCATTAAGCTTAGAAGGTATACTTATTCGTAAATCTAGTTTATGATGTCTTTCTTTTTCTAAAAGGGGCTTTTATGTAGCAATTTTAATTTGTTTTATAATTGTGGATCCTGTTCTCGGCCTATTTTAACTTGAGGAGCGCTCTATATTTGCATTTCTTGGTATCAAAATTTATGAATTTTTATTAGAGCCATGAGCTTAGTGAATCATTTTATTGTATTTGTTGAACATCATTTTTAATACACCTGGAGTGCTTAATGGTAATTTACCTTTCCTTGCATGTACTTGATTGATTTGTATTTTAATTTATAGTTAGTCATTTTATTGCTTTTACATCTTTTCTGCTTTTTCTCTTCTTGTCTCAATTCTATGAATTCTAAAATGCGTATCTCTTTGCAGTGGCTAGGTAAGAGGTCTAGGCTAGCTTTTTCTCTTATTCATATTGATGTCATCCTGCTCCTATTTCTTTATTCTTAAGGTATTGTTATCCTACATTTTTCTGTTCAAAATTTGCCCATAGTATGAGTTGCAGAAGCTATCAGTGTGAGCTAAAGTAACCTCTTTCTCTGTACTGCTCATTTACATTGCACCCTCTGTATTATTTCTTTAGGATATATTGTAATCCTAAACCTTTGAGTCATTCATTATCTCTTTGATTTGTTATTACTATTAAAGAGTGGATTTAATTTTTGAATGAGTCTGTATTCTCCTTTTGAATTCGATCGACATTGATCTAAGATTTAAAATTTCGTCCTTTTTCTTTATTACAGTGTTGAATTTAGATGGCAAGTTTTAGGCATTTTTTACAGTTCTACTGCTCATAGAAGTAATACCTCCCATTTGACTATAGTTGACATTTTCAGTATTTATAATTTAGTCTGTAGTATTCCTAACCAACTATGAATCCCTTGATACATATTAAACATGATCACCCCCAGCTTGTTCTGGCACCAATGACTTATGATGAAGCCTAATATTTTTAGGAGTAAACTTTGAGAAAGTTTAATAGTCCTAATCTAATGTTTGGGCTTGCTGATCTTCAACATTAATATCTAAATTTTAATTTACCACTGAATTTCACTAAGTTTTATGCCGTTTTTGCTTTGAGTCCTTAGAAAGATAAAATTTCTATTATAAGGTTTGTACTTTCATTTATTTCCTGTTGATCGCTTTTTCTAGCAAATCAAGATCAGTAAAACCTTTTGTACGAATGATTTCATTAAGATCTGTAAGTCTAAATTGTTCTTTCTCTTGCTCAGTTGTCTATTTGGCTTATAGAATATTCTTTTTACTTATTCCATCATAATTTACAATATCTATGATTAGCTTGTGAGGCTGATTATTTATATAGTAATTTGAGCCTTTTGGTTCTATTTGAACTGTTAGAACTTGTATTGGATAACCATCTGGCATTAGGAAAGAAAGAATATTATCATTCCTTAGGATTTTATATTTCCCCATTTCACCTCTTACTATCTCAATTAGTTTATCTTTGTGAATATGAAGCGAATCTTAATCTAGTAATTCAAAAAATATAGAGTGTGGCTCTTCTATCTCATATGAATAAAAAGTCAAGTCAATATTTAAGGCTAAAGGTTCGCCTTCCCTAATTCTTAGTTAATAATACATCCAATCAGGAATCTCTAAGATGTCATTGTCCTAGCCTTCATCAATCTTGCTAATATGGCAGACTATTTGGTTTTCATACCTATATCCTTAATGAATTTATGTATTTGATAAATATTTCTATTGCCTTTGCTATCTCTGAAGTATATTCATGTTTAAGTTAAAGAAAGTTCGAGTATCGCTTACTGTTACAATTAAAAGTTCTTTTTTAAAGAGTTACATTGCAAATGCCTTTTAGTCTTTATCCATAAGGTTTAAGAATGTTGAGGGTACTGTAATTCCATCTCCAAAGTTTTTTGCTATTTGCTTATATGGTTAAGATTTGGAAAATATTCGTCTGAATTATGAGTCTAGGAGAAAGCTAGGCACAGGCATAGTTATGCCCTGCTTATTTTTCTAATTTTATATATATTCTTATTTGTTAATATTTTCTTCGGTTTATTTTTCAAGAGTCACTATTTATGAAACTGTGAATCATTTCTACTGTTGTTTTATATTTCCTAGTAGTCTATTTATTGTCGAATTTCCAAATATTTCTACTTGAGGCATTGAGTTGTGCTTTGCATTGAAAAATGAAGACTCATTAAGTTTAGTTCCGACTGATTTCATTTTATTTTAAAAAGACTGAAATAAATTTTTTTTTAAATGTAATTTTTTTAAATTCCCATTATTTATCTTCCATGGGGTTTTGGGGTTTTGGGGTTTTGGGG